TACCGCCTCGAACACGTTAGCGGTTTGCTCTTAATTTTTCGGATACTAAGGGTTTAGCATGAGAAAAGGCCAGTGAGCGCTCACTGTTGCTGTTTCTAATGGCTGCGGAATTACGGGGGTTATTACGGGGGTTATTTGAGATCCTGATCCGAATATGACATTCGTTTTCGGCGCCGGCGCCAATGTAAGGCACTCTGGTCATCTGCTCTCTACCAGGGCTGAACCTATCGGGGAGGAAATCACCCCTCCTCCCAAGCTCAGCCTAACAGAGCGCTAAGTTGCGCTGGAGTCGAAAAATCGATGTCATTTTCGTAATCGAGGTATCAGTCACCTCTATTACGCAAGTTTTCATCTATCTTGGCGATGAGGTGGTCGTGCCCAATGAGCCCGGTTGAAATGACGCCAGGGCCAAAGCTGAATGTCATATCCATAATCAGGACACCTAATAACATATGTAGGCAAAGATTGAGCGAAAATCTTTCTAAAGTTTCTAGTGTTGGAATAAAGGAATAAAGGCGTTTTCTTTACAGTCGTTTTATTTTCATTTTGTAGGAGTCGAAAGTTGATGTACTTCACGTCGATAACCAGAAAGTGCGTGAGCAACAGATCGCCAAGCTGGAGCATATTCGCAAGACCCGAGACCCACAAAGAGCCAAGGCTGCCCTGGAGGCGATCACAGCGGTATTCGAACCGTTAACTTCACTCATTTTGAAGTTTCACCGAAAGCGTTCGAATATTTCAAGGGAGCTGCCGGCAATGGAAATCTTATGGAATTGGCAGTGGAGGCATCTCGCGCTCGATGCACTGTCGGAGAGATTAGCGACGCAATGGAGAAAGTCTTCACTCGGTAAGTGCTCACCGGCTGTCTTTACTGTACAGTAAGAGTCAATTTTCAACAGTCAGCCATGATTCGAATATACTGGACATACTTTGGGCTAGACATGCCAACAGTGAGCCTCGCTCCGGCAGCCTGCCCATTCCCATTGTTTTTCTTCTTCTATCAAACCACTTGTTGCATTTCTTTGTTGTATAATTTTTCATGGTCCACTTTTCCGAGACCGAGCGATAGACTTCGACGTAGTTGAACCCGCTCTCAAAGACCATTCCCGCTATCAAATGTTACGAGTAGCAGGTGCTCAGTCATGAACCAGTAGCCCACAAGTGAATCCCTGTTAAGAAAGAAGTGAAAAAACCTTGGAAACGCTCTTAACGGAGACCCTTCAGCAGGTGGCGCCTTGGACGTGTTTGTCGGACGTTGACAAGCCCAGTCAGCCGGATTTGACGTGCAACCAGTTCCCGGCAAGAGGCACAGAAAATCACCCTACGACGCTCCACGCAACGCCATGTACCACACACAATCTACTTGTAAGAAGTTGTTATGCAAGAGTGGAAGTTAGATCTTGGTTGCAGATACATCGCCGCGTCTCTAGCGTTCCTTTAATCTCGTCCGTTCGAGTGATATAAAGTGGTATGAATCTCCTGCGAATTGCGGACAACGGTAACCGAAAGAAGCCCTATGAGAGCATTCCGCCAGTACCACATTGAACGCGGAACTGCCTTCGAGAACGGGTCCACCACTTCCCTCCCCGCCCAAGAACATCCCCTCCTCCACCACCATTCGTGTCTTCCGCTCCACCCAGTAAGCGCCCGGTGCTAATCCTTCCTGCTCTCTTTCGTGACATTTTTCTGATTTTTCAAGTTTATCAACATCTCTCGGTTGTGGATGCTCAGCTTTGGCCTAGGTTGACTCTCCTTCCGCTTCCCATGACAATAATTTTTTACTTATGCTGCCGCTTTCTTGTTTTAGTTATGCTGCCGTCTACCTTGTTTTAGTTATGCTGCCGTGAACAAAATGGTATCAGGCGCCTACAAGTCAGAGTTTGGAGAGACGAACGAGATCGCTCAGGTAATATCCGATGTTATCAGCCACCATTTCAGGTGAAAACCAACAAAGCTGATTTGAGGTGATGGAACGTGTGAAGGCGTTTGCTGCGAAGGAAGGTCGTCAACCTCGTCTTATGGTAGCCAAGATGGGACAAGATGGTCACGACGTGGTGCTAAGGTGGTGGCTACCGGATTTGCAGATCTTGGTAGGTTTATGGGTTTTCTATAGATCGAAATGAACTATACTCGACTGCTCATGGTGTTACCTGTGCAGTGCCTTGCTAAAGAGTTGACTAAGTCTCTCTTGTGAATGAACAAGTTCAGGATTCGACGTTGACGTTGGGCCGCTGTTCCAAACCCCTGCTGAAGCTGCTCAGCAAGCTGTTGACGCTGATGTCCATGTGATTGGAGCGAGCAGCCTTGCTGCTGGACACCTCACACTTGTGCCTCAGCTGGTTCAAGAACTCGCCAAACTAGGAAGAGAGTAAGTAGTAACTCTTTATGCTGACGGGAAAGAGAGAAAAATGATATGGAGTTTTAGGGACATTCTTGTGGTTGTTGGTGGTGTGATCCCACCGCAGGACTATGATGCTCTGTATAAGGCCGGTGCATCTCTGATCTTCGGACCTGGAACAAGACTACCTACTTGTGCCAACCAGGTAACTTTTTCTTCTGCTTTGGAAACTAGTTTGTTGAGTCGCCGTGGAAAGTGGCAAAACTGCTGCTGGCTGTTCTTCAGAACTTAATAGTGGCTGTGGGTCAGGAGGTCCAAGTGGTGGCGACACATGGAAATTGGCTCGGCCTTTCTTGGTGGTTGGCTCGACCGATCTGCTACGGCACTTTCGAGTCAAAAAGAATTCGACCCCGAGAATGCCGTTCCTACAACGCCGCTTTCGCCATTCCACCGTGACTCGGATCTCCTGAGCATCGTGAAGGGGTCGCCAGCTGGTCGATCACAATCATTACGTAAAACTCAAAGGCACTCTCCGCGTTCATTTGATGTTCAGACGCTTTCTTTGACAGTGCGAGTCCTGTACACAAACATGGAGAA